TGAAATGCATGGCTGACAATTGATGGTGCTCAAATCGATCCCTTTTACCATCACCACATGAAAATGAAGCACAGCTAGCAAAAGAAAAAATCCAACAAGGGGAGAACCAAAATCCAATGAAGAATCCTTGGTCTTCACAATACCAATTGATGCAAGAACATCTGCACATGTGCTAACAATCTACATCCCAACGCAACGTGTTTCTGTACCCTAATGGATAATTAATTGATTGCGCATGGTTCAAAGGACAATCAAAGGATGTGTCCCACTGGTAAATGTGACCACCATGGCCCCCCAAAACTGTTCACATGTAAAACTTTTGAGTTTGGTTACAAATTCAAAAAATGTAAAATTAGTAGTATGTATTGAGCTAGACATATATCAGTAAATTCTATCACAATATTTAAATGGTTCCCATCTTGTAATTGGAAGCAAGATTGCAACTTGACCTTCAGTTCAGCCCAACATTCATCCATAATTTCCATCACTCGCCATTTCTACACACTATATATTACTGTATTTGGAAACCAAATTCTATTATTCTTTGAAAACTAACCTAAATTAAAAATAAATTGTACAACATGGTCCACCATTTCCTTTAAATTCAAGATGCAAACCACTCTTGTCTTTTCATGTGAAAAAGAACAGCAGAAGTTGAGAAAGGAAGGTAGCAGATCTGACAATGTTAAATATAACCGCGACAAGGATAGTAACATTGCCCTACAAAGGAAAGGGGCAGAAAGCACTGTTGTGAAAATTACACTGTACAGTTTTTTTTTTTTCCTTTTCCATTCCTTTTTTTTTTTTTTTTCTTTCTTTGAGCTTAGTTCTGAATAGACTTTCTTATCATTTTAATTTTTTACCATGATTCTAAAACCTATCTGCATAAATTGTTAGCATACAGTTTTATTAAACTTTTTATCACATGATAAACGATTACATGGTTCAAACTAAATAACCACCATAGTCTCAACTAATTTTTATGCTACAATACAAGTAATATAAAAATCAGTCAAAACATTGTAGTCTTGAAGAGGTAATCATTTCTGAAAAAATCAAGACTTGTACTCAAATACCATACAACTCCAAAATGGGATGCACGGGTGTCATTAACAGAGGTAAAGAATCACGAGAGATAGGGAAAAAAGAAGAAGGAAAAAGTAAAACAATTAATTGAGAATGAGGAGATAAAATTACAGTCAAATATGCTTGTAATTCTGAAACCCTAGATGGTTATCGTTTTCCTCAAGTTCAATAGCAGAACTTTGGTTCGTTAGTGCGAGGCTTTTTTCTATCTTTCCCTGAAGCTCCCAATCATTCCAACGGTGGGTCCAGTAACATCTTTTCTTCAAACTCGTGATTATGAATTTGGCAAGTTGAGCAAAGGAGGGTGTCACTGTCAAGAATCTCAACCATGAAATTGGTTTAGTACTTTTATCTGTTTGGGAGGAACCATACTTTTCCAACATTCTTTTAAATTAGTTCCTTTTCAAAAAATAAAAGTATAAACCCAAGCCCTTTTGAAACCTTTATTTAATTTTTTTCAAGATAGCAAAACTTTCGGAAAAAGGCAGCAATAACAAATTAAACTAATGCCTAGCTATTCATGAGGGAAAGAATCAGCAGCTGATCATTATGTGTCAATTGGAATTTGCCTCAACCTTTTTTGGTTCAAAATTTTGCTCAACTTTTGTTTGCTCTACATTGTTTTTTCTGATGTTTTCTAGATTTCTACACATGACAGTGTCTTGAGTGAGCCAGGCCTGTCAATTTTGGTCTTCCAGGTACATATATTTGATTGCTTATTTTGTCCCAATTTTCTGAGTGAGGTCACTGCTTAGACCATCAAGGCATCCACTTACTCTGATTTTTATATTTTCATTGTGACTGTGAGAGTCTGTGATAAATGAAAATGGATCCCCACTCATCTTCCATCTCTATCTCTCAACATCATGGAGCTGTATGTGTAATTAACAACAACGAGATGAGACAAACAATCTCTCTCAATAGAACACATACTAATCCAAATTTATATACTAAGGTCAGTTATCAGAAAGTCCAAACGTACTTTCTTCATTAATATAAACTTTACTATAGGAACAATAATGTGCAGCAAGGCTCTGCATGTATATATCTGAAATTGTTTCAACCTCTTGAATTCCCTCTTGTTGAAAACTAATACTGCAGCTAAGTGTGGAGGAATATGATGGGGTGTTAATTGATCAATTGAAACAGGCTGAGAAAACAGATTTACATATATATAAACGTAGAATCTAATAGTAAAATCAATGTTAAGCATTGTAACTAGTTGGCATGAAAGTAGATGATGGAATAATGCATATTTTGGGTGTGTGAGAGAGAAAACGACAGTGTAGTAAGTGGGAGTTGTAATTGGTTATCCTTTAACCTAAAGGAAATTATACAAACAAGTTGCCAATAGTTGGAAAAGGGTGTTATACTTTAAGGACCACGAAAAAGTTTGGCTAGTGTAGAAGCAAGTATATAAAGTTAAGATGCCTCTCTCTTTCTTCCTTTGATGTATATGTTCTATCTATGTTGTTGTTTCCACAACTTTCTTTGCCTAAGAATATTGTTAGTCTGTTTATGCAGGAATTGATTAACAAAGTGGATAATTAAATTAGTTTGCAGGTAATTCAATTATGTATGAAAACATGAGTTCAGTCAATTACTTTTGATCAAACTTTTTTTTTTAATACGGATAAAAATATTGGTTCAAATTTCGCAGTCACAGTGTGAAAAAGTAAAATTATTAGTTTAGTAATTTAATTTTATCTTTTCATTCAAGTATACTCTTCTAACTTTTTTTAATTTTATTTTTGTCTTCTATTTCCTTTCTAGGTTTCAATTCAATTAATTTTTGTTCAATACTGAAACTAAAGAGAGAAGTAAAGAATTAACATGCAACAAATAAAAAAAAAAAAACTAACAAAGTTAACTAAAGTATTAAATTTTATAAAAAATATTATTGTCTTATAAAAAGTATTAAATTTTCAATATATACTTCCAAATAATTAATTTCAACCATTAATAAAACATTATTGTCTTATAAAATAAATATGGGGTGGAGAAAGAATGTGGCAAGTCTTTATCAATTAATAATAACTTGCATGACCTTGAGTTGGCATCCTTCACGACCAGCTACGTTCTTGTTTATGGGCCATTAACTGTCTCAATCGTCAACTTAAACAAACAATTCAGTTGGGCCTTAATGTTCTGAAGTCCATGTTCTTAAGGCTGTTGCTTCCTCTCCCCCATAATTATCTTAAACCTTATCTTACCTTACATTTATTTTCATCTTCATCTTTCCAATACATTATAAATTGAGTTTTCCAGAAACATATTATAGAATAATAGAACACCCAATTTAAAATGTGTTTTCATAAAGGTTTTTTTAAAAACACATTTTAAAACACCTAATTTGAAAAACATTTTCAATTTTTTTTTTCTAGAAACACATTTTAAAATACTCAATTCAGAATGTATATACAAAATATTTTGGTGATTTAACATAGATTATGAGTTGCAAAAAGAAAATATGGAGGTATAGGAAGAATATACCTATATTATTTTAAAACATAATTTGATTCAATGCAGATTTACATGGTCCGTTGAACAGAGTGATAATCCAAAATTGGCCCCAGATTGTGGTACGTCGGGGCCTCAAACTTGTGCTGGAGCTTACTTTCCAGGACTTAATTGGGCTCTTCAACGGATTATTTATTCATCCATCACCCTAGTAAACTAAAAAAAAATAAAATAATAAAAAACTAAAATTATTTTTTGCATAAACTAAATTTAGTTTATAAATAAATTTAAATTTTTTAAAAAACTATATAAGAAAACTTTAACGGATTAGTTTAGCGAATGAAAACTTCTCGCATATAAAATTAATAATTTAATTTTTCTTTTTTATACAAATATTTGTAGAAAAATTCATTCAGTCCTAATTCACTGTTAAAAAAATAATGGAATTTTTACATTCATTATTTTCTATTTTCTATATTTGTACTATGAATTTATTGTAAAAAAGAGAGTGTTTAACCCCTGCTTTTGTTCTCTACAAATATACACCCTAAACTTTAAGTTTGTCGTAATTGGAGATTAAGACGTAATGAAGTTGGTATTAAAAAAATTAAAATAGATTTTTTTATATATATTTTAATTTATTTTGTATTATATTTTAATACAATAATGAATTATAACAAAAAATAAATTCTTGATATCTAACGTAAATTGTGTAACTCGAATTTGTACACAGACTGATTTAACTCTAATATGTTTGAGATATATTTAAAAAAATTAAAAAGTTTTAGAGATTAATTAAGATAATATTATTTTCTTAAATATCTATTTATAAATAATCAATTCTACATTTCTTTTTCTTTTTTTTTAGTTTTCAATATCATAAGATGTGCTTAAAAAGTAAATTATTCATTATTGCCAAGTAATATAAATTTATACATTAATTTATTTTTATTTATTATTTTCATATTTTACATGTATTTTTTTCTCGCTAAAAATATATTTAGAAATATAACAACTAACCTTGTCTTTAACAATTTGAAGTAATAAAGTAAGAAAATGGGTTGCCCTTTAACCAAAATCTGAAATAAAAGAATCATTCGTAACAGCGCGCAAATATTTTCACTGCCATATGGCGCTTCTTGAAGTTCGACTTGAAAAAACAAAACATGTTTTATTTTTCTGAATTCATGTTTTGGTTTTCTTTTAAGGTTTACCGCCACCGCCAAATATCATCAATTTTCAGCACTTGAGAAATTAATTGAAAAAACTAAGAACAATGAAAGATCCTCCACACTCCAAAATTCTGAATTTTTTGTGCATCCCCTCCTTCTCTTTCATTCTCCCTCCATTTTCAAACAAACAACAATGTTTAAATACCATCTTTTCACCACCAGTCTCTCATCGCCATTCAAGTGCCTCTCTTTCCTTCTTCTCTGCAACTCAAGGTGTTCACAATGGATGACACTGTCACACACGACGAGAGCAACAAAGAGAATGTCCCTCCAATTATCACCGTTTTGGAAAAGAAGAAAAACCCAATTCCTCCCGTGGCCCCTTCTTTCAAGAGGAACACCAAGAGGAAGATGAAGAGGGTCCCGCTTGCTGATATAACCCATCTCTTCAACAACTCTGCTCAGGAACAAAATCACCAAACTGGGGTTTCTGCTTCTCCTCCTCCTCCTGATTCAGTTTTGCTTCCGGCCAAGTCTCGAAGAAAAACGATGGTTCTGCTTCGTTGTTCCAAATCGTTGAGATTAGGGTTCAGATAATTTTATTGTTTTTCCCTTTTGTTACATAGCTTAGGGTTCAGATAATTGAACAGAATTGTGCAATTGGAATGAAATATAAGATTCAGAAACTGCAAATTTATGATATTGGTCTTAATTGATTAGAGTATAGAATTGTAACCAAATAATTTATTTCTTGAAATTAAAGCAGATTGAAAAGGCAATAAGTCAAATTACCTTGCAATGTTGTGTGTTAATTTGTTTCATTATGCTTGGCTCCTTGCTAAATGTTACCCTTAGCATGTATGATTTTAACATGTTTGTTTGTTCTCGTTCCTGATTGTAAGTTCTTTATGAACAAGTTAAATTGTAATTGAACACAAGACTCTCGTTATTGAACATTAGGAATTCAATTATTAAAAAATTATAAAATTAAGGTTTATAATTGTTGTAGGTTAAGACTTTATCGAAAATTTCTGATATTGATTAATTTAAACTTTATAATAAGAATTTTTTTTATTAATGAATAAAACATCCATTAAACGTAATATGTAAGAGTAAGATGATAATTAAAATTTTATTAAAAGAAAATTGTAGAATCATTCTATTCTTGAAATGAAGTATAGTTGTCAAGCAAATATATATTGAAAAAGTAGTCGAATATATTAAATTATTCATTTCATTATTTTTGTTAACGATTTAAAAAAATCTCTTTAATAATAGAAAGTGGTGAAAATTCTATTTTTTTCTACAATTTTATTTTTTAAGAGATTAAAAATTATAAAATCTTATAAAAATTTATAATTAGTTTATTCTATTTTCTTCATTTTTTTAAATAAACTGATATTTTTAAATTATAAATTATAAGTCAGATATACAAATATTTTATCTTAGTCATAAATTTTATTATTGAAATCTGAATAATATATATATTACAACAAGGACTCTTTTAATTTAATAATAATAGTTTATTATTATTATCTTTTATATATTATTTCGATGATAATAATAATAAATGTTGTTTTATTTTTGGGGTTTTCCTATGTATATGTTTTTTTTTTTTCGTTAAGATTAAAAGTTAATTATTTATTTTATTTTTATTGGATTTTGTATATTTTCGTCTTTTATCTATTTCTGCTTTACATTAAATAGTTAATTATATTTATAATAAATATAAATTTAATATTTTTATATATAAATATATTTGTAATAATTATTAAATATATATTTTAATTTATTATTTTTCTATTAAAATATATATGTAAAAAAATTAATTATTTTTTATTATATGATATGAAATATTTATTATAATAATATTATTATTATAATATTATATTCAAATTTTTTATTTTTAATTATTTTTTAAGTTATTATTTTAATAAGTTAATTTATAAAAAAATATTTAATAAATTAATTTTCATTTAATTAATTCAAAATAATAAAAATTTTAATTATCAATTATTATAAATTTTTTAAAATATAATTATTTTATTCATTGATATATGTTAAATAAAAATAATAAAATATTAAAAAAATGATATAACAATACTTAATAAAAATAAATTATAAATAAAATTAGTTATTATAACAAATAAAAATGATAAAATTAAAAAAAATTTAATATAATAAAATATAATAAAAAAATTATAAATAAAATTAATTATTACTAAATTGATTCGAAATATTTATAAAAAATATTAATTTTGTATTTATCACATTAATTAAAATTACTAAAAAAATGTGAATAAATAAAATGTAAGAAAAAAATAATAATTCAATAAAGTAATTGATTTAATATATTAAAAAAAATAAAAAATGAGTAGAAAAAAATAAAAATAATAAAATATAAGAAATAATTTTATATAAAATATGAAAAAAAAATTTAAAAATATTAATATTTAAAATTTAAATCTAAATATAAACTTAAAATAAGACGAAATCGAGATGGACATAAAAAATTATATTACTTGTTTAGTTCTTAACTTTTTTTGAATCAGGAAAATCCGCTGTATGATCCATTTAAATTTTTCCTTTAAATTTAGAATGAATATGTGACATACATAAGTTTAACTGTCATTCAGTTTAAATTTGGAATTAATTCTAATTTTATTATTCTATTTATTTATTGCATATTTAAACTACACAACTATATAAGTATTCCTTTTTGTCTTTAATCAATTATATGTAGTTTTAATAAGTTTTTTTTTAATTTTTTTCGGATTTATTTAGAAATATGTACTTAGTAAGATAGATATGTCAAAATATTTTGAATAGAGTTGTTAGAAGAAATTATTTTAAAAAATATATTATTTTATTATGATGGATAATTTAAAAATAAAAAAAATACTTAAAATTTTGAAAAAGTATTTATATTTATATAAATAATTTTGATCAATTTTAAATAATTTATATATATATATAATTCATAAAAATATATTTTTTATTCGTAATAATTTCTTTTAAAAATGTCTTTATTAGTTAACTTATTCCATGCATAATTTTCATATATCTTTAACAAGTGTTAATAATAATTTCTACATGCTAATTTGAAAGGAGTTTTTATTGTTGGCTTACTCATAGACTTTCTTTTAGTTTACTCATGTATTTTAGATAATAAAAATATTACATGGTAACCAAATAATTGTTATGCAACCTAAAATAATATTATTTATTTGGATTCTCAATAATTATTATCCTTTAAATAATCACAATACATACAGATAATTATACTCTCTATAACTACACTTTTTATTAATGGTTCACATCTAACATTAACAAATCTCCTCTGTTTTGCTCATTTTAATATCATCAACTTATTTTATTTCATTCTAATACATGCTTAATATTGATAGAACAATCAAAACTATTGAGTGAACCAATAAATTCGGTTTTGGACATGTAACATGTCATCATATTCTTTTTAACTCAATGTAGAATCTTATTTCTATCATACAACCAATATATAACTCAATTAACTCGATTTCGAAGGATTCTTGAGATAAGTGTTTGACTAATTTCATTTCTGATTTTGTCATGGTGATCTTCTTCATTCACTCGTGGCTCATTTGTTAGTTCAACAGAGCTCAGTAAAAGTGGGTGATTTGTCTTAGTTTGGCTACTGACTTGTTATGGTCTACATCTTAATGGCAAATGCGTAAAGGCCCTTTTCTGGTTCTGCAAAAGATATTTGCTGGTTGACGAGACAATGGCTTGTTATTAGGCATGTTTATGTTTATTTTGAAGCTGCAATGCGTTGGAGTTTCCTGTTAGATTGACACTCATCAATCCAACATTGTATATCATAGCACACGCTACATTTTTTGTTATTATTACTTGTATAGAACCAAATATCATTCCAAATTGTGAAAGCTTTCACAATTTAAGTTATTAGGATAGCTCTCCTGGTCTCAAATTGTTTGCTCCAATTCTCCTCTTCCTATCCAAGTTTTCTCTAATGAACAATATATGCTACTAACTGTTATAAGCAGATTAAGACTGATGATCAATTAAGCTGTCTCAAGCGATGGCAAAATGACACACTGATTGGCTTTCAATGATTTTAAAATCATTTAATGGTGCCCTATTCATGAACCAAAGAAATGACAGCATCAAATAACGTATTGATGCAAAATGTGGACACTTTGTATTTTCTATGTGAATACCTGGCTTCAATTATGCATTGACTTCCCCAACTTACGTAATATATATCAGCCGCATAATACAAAGATTCCATATAAGTGCAAAACATTCAAACTGATAGGTGCAGCTACCACTTCAATTTGCACCAAGTAAAGTGGACAAATTAGTAACATGCTTAGCATCAGATTGCATTTAACTATATTGCTTATGGCACTAAAGTTAATGTAAAGTATTCATCATAAAACAGAAGATCACAACCCGCAGCAAAATAAAAACTGATCCAATCGCCGCCACTTGCTACAGAAAACAGTGTGACCATAGGAGCTAAGGCTTCAAGGATCTGATCAGCATTTCTGTTACATCGCTGGCAGCATCAACTAAAGACCAACCACATTTATTCGTTTTATTAAGCATAGTCCATGTCTAGTGGTTATTCATTCATGGTTTTACAGTATAAAAGCAAAGAACAAAGAAAAACACTTTATGAGTCAGCAATAGGCGGTGCGGGATATTCATTATCCGATATCAAATGTTCATTGTGCTTTGCATGGTCAAGTGGGAATGGAATATTAAGTCAGCCATACTTTTACATTACAATAGTGGTGCCAACTTATCGTGTATAGATCATCGTATATAGTGTTGCAATTAAACTCGTAGTTATTCTGTCATCATTCTACATCATGTTTCTTTCTTCCTATAAACTAATACGCTGATTCTGACATAGTTATTCATATATTAGTTTGCACTAACATAACAAAACTCAGCGAAGGCATGATTTCGGCAATGATAATAATATTATCCATCATGCTAAATATGACATCACTGCAACCTTTCATTGACTGTAATTCAGATTTCAGTTTGATGTGACCTCCATATATATGTATAAGTCATCTATGCGTCTACATTCAACATCGTCATTTTCTTTTACTGGTTCATCAAAGAATAGTTATATATATATGTTGGAGATTATTAAATGGTTTAAGTGATATTTAAAAAAAAAAAAATTCTTCTTCCTTTCTATTGTTATTAAAAATAGGGATAATATTTATAATATCGATGATTTTAAATTTTCTACTTTGTTTCATTAACTAGATATATCAATATACAAAATGGACACAACTTCTATATTGGTTATACAATGTAGAAAAGTCTGGTTGCTAAAATTTCAATGTTAAATACATTTCACTAAATCAAAATGGGCATAAGGGAGGGTCTATACTACATCCATTTTAGTCATGGGTATTTTTTTTTAAATTATATTTGTAGTTTTCATTCTTGACCCGTAAATTCTAATTTCACAAGCAGATAATTGATCATATATAATAAAATTGACAAGTCATAATAGTGTAATATAAAAAGAATATACAGATACTAATAATTATACTAATTAACCTATAAAAATTATATTAATCCACCATTATTTCTGTTGTTAAAAAAAATTTGATTCACTCTTATCTTCGATAGAGGTTCAAATATATAATAATTGTTATATTTAAATCACATAAAGTAATTATTATCTAGTCCCATTAATATGTAATAAGCATATATCATCTACACCTAATGCATGAAGTAATATTTACACTTATAACTTCCTTATTGCTTAACATTAATATGTTAATTATTAAAAATTTAATTATTTACAAATTATAAAACATTCTGTATAAATGCATAGTAGATTATGTAATGATGAAATAGAACTACTATTATTGCTTAACATTAATATGTTAATTATTAAAAATTTAATTATTTACAAATTATAAAATATTCTGTATAAATGTATAGTAAATTATGTAATGATGAAATAGATATGCTATTTAAGACATCGTCCACATTTATAACATCATATAACATGAAATATTATTGAATAATAATTTATAACACTTTAACAAAATACAAAAGATGAATTAAAATCATACATTTTTTCATACATTTTTTTACTAAAGTTTTGAAGTGTGCCCTATACTTTTTATGTAGTGAACAAAACCATATTATTTGTATTTTTTATATTTACATCTAATTAATTAATTGACATACTTATATTATTAATATAAACATGTGGAATGAAATTTATAATTAAAATATACATACATTATTCATAATTAGATATAACTACAATGTTCAACATTTGGTTACCCTATATTATTTCAAATGATCCACTGCATGATTATGTCTTGTATCCCATGATATGACATATGATATTTCAAATAAAGTTTGTAAAACTCCCCTGATAGATTAGAATGTTGTTCAGGTGTTACAGATTGTTTTCATATCACATTATATCATACTTAATACCATGACAAACATCCATATACGTATGAGATATATTCACAAAATTAAACTTTAATTACAAATTTGTTTCCTAGAAATTGGTTGAATTAAATATGTTAGTCATGTAATGAACGTATGAAATTTATTTTCTATTAATTAAACCTTATCTGTGGTCACACGGACTACAACGGTAACATTTCTAACATTGTCAACCAGTACTATTTTATAACCTTCATTATAGATACTCTATATATTCTCTCAATGTTCACAAGACAAACAAGATCTCTGTCTAAAAACAATTGACACTTATAACATATTTTTGTGTCGGCCTCCTCAGATATATCTACAAACATATAACTGTAAATTAAATCTCTACTCCCTAATTGCATATTAAATTTGTAATTTTAAAAATTAAATATGAAATCCTTAATTCTAAGTTAAATCCCTAATCCTTAAATTCTTAATCCTTAAATTTAAATTAAATCCTTAATTATAAATTAAATCACTAATTTCTAATTTTATACTAACTTCCCTATTCTAAATTACATCCAAAATCAAAATTAAATTCCCAATCTCTAATTTTATACTAAATTTGAACTTAACAAAAACACATAAATTAAGACTTTACCAAATTTGAACTTAACAGAAACACATAAATTAAGACTTTACCAATAGTCACAAATTAAACAAAATTGTAAAAATGATGCACCCAATACCTCAAATAGCAATGGACAAAATGGAGATACGGGTAATGTGGCATGGTGTTATCGCTACAAATGTGGCACAACAAATGTGGTATAGTAATGATGTAATAAATGTGATACGGTGGTGGTGCAACAAACTTGAACGATGGTGGCAAGGTGTAAGACACTGTGGAGACCAGTTCGTGAGATTCATGGTTGGTGGTGGCACACTATATTAACGATAACAACAAATGTGAAAAGGTAGTGACAAGGTGTAGGATATGGTGTGAAAATCAATTCATGAGGTTCAGCGGTAGAACACTGCAATAACATTATTAGCACACATGACACGATGTAATATATTTCCCCATTCACTTTCACAAAAATGATATATGCAAGAAGAAAGTTTTGAAAATTTTTCAAAAAATATCATCGGATATTAAGCAGATTTTAACATAATCACTCTAAAACTGTTTATATATATATATATATATATATATATATATATATATATATTAAAATGGGTGTCTAGTAAATCTAATTAATTTTAACTTTAAGTAGAGATAAAAAGTTTTCCGCTCGAAACAAATTAAAAATATCTATTTCTTCTTAAAAATTGGTCATTCAACCATCTTTTAAATTTAATAAATTGGTTTATTTAATTAAATGTATTATTATATTAATTTTGCACGATATATTACAATATATATTTATTTAATTTTAAAAATATTAAGCATGTGGGCATAAGATTCAAATTTAATATAAATTTATTTAATTTATTTATATTTTTATACTCTTATATATAACTTGTTTCACATGGAATGCACTTCAATATATCAACATTTTAATATTAAGATAAAGTAAATAATCCTATTTAAACACATCACTAATATTGTATATGAAGATCAAATCCACAATCTTTGTCATCTACATAGATATTATGCATTTTCCATTTTATCTTACGTGATGAAATTTATTATATTTTACAGAAAGAAAGATAGTGAGCTTTGCAAACAGAGTGATGTTTAATTTAGAAAAATGTTAGTCATTGGATATATTGTTGTTGGCATGGAAATCAATCAGCTCGTAAAATATTCGAGTCTATACATTTTAAATATTTGCACCACATTATTAATGAGTAATTTCATTAATTTTAACCACCAACATTTATATATATATATATATATATATATATATATATATATATATATATATATATAAAAGTTAGGACATGACATTTTTTTTGGTCGTGGAACCATTATGGTTTCATTTATTTATTTAATCTTTTACCTTACCAAACAAAATATTATTTGTCTTTGAATACTCCAAATTTTGATTACTTTCGGCCTAACATATCTTGAAGTTGTTTATAGGTGAAAGTGGATATATTCAAAATTTCCATCCAAACACATACTCTTTTTCGGTTCGCCACATATCTTGAAGCAATTAATTTTATGATATTATAATTTATTAAAAAAATAAAATTATGTAATACGTAGACATATATGTATATTTACAATAAATTATGAAACTATAAATCATGTTCGTTAATTTAGTTATTTTTTTAAAGGCTATGACTTTACGATTCTATATATGATCCACATCTTTAATTTAAAGGAGGGAAGTCCAAAATAAAAAATGAGTTATAAAAATTGAGTCAATTTTAATTGCAATACAATTATACAAGAACAATTACGTTTTTATACAAATTTCTGCATATTTGTTGAGAAATAGGGATTCAGAAATTAGAAGAACACAAAAAGGAGTTTTGAATGGCCTTTGGAACCTCTATAAGGAAAAAGTTTGGTTGGAATATAAATAACCTTCTAGACTTTGAAAGGTCTTCTAGTGCTGTAATTGTGCATTTTTTTTAAAAGACATTGACTAAAGATAGTCATGTGAGTACGCTAATACTAGAAAACAAATATGAATAATGCATATATATTGGATCAATACGTCATTTTATTCCCAAGCTTTTTCGTGTTTGTGCGTCACATGTTTACGCACATTCTTTTATCATGTGTGTTGAAAAATATACGTGGTTTGAGTCTGAGAAAAAAAGGCATTGAATGAAATAAACTAGATAATTATCGTATGATTTTTTTTTTAAAATAAAATCAAACAGAAACGAAGGCAAGAACAAAAATATTATATGTAACTTAAATATTAAAAAGGGACATGGATTCCATACTATATAAACACGCATGGATATAGTCATTTGGAGTGCAGCAAGTGAGCTTGAAAGCTTGGGGAAAATGGCTAACTCAAAGCAAGTTCTAGTTTGCATGATTCTGCTGGTGATTTTATTTGTCAAGTTTGAAAGTCGTTCACTTGAGGCATTTATGGTGAAGAAGAAGACACCAACCAAAGGTTTTGCACAGGAATTGATTCAAAAATCACAACTTATGAAGACAACTTTTGCAAAAATAGAGACTTTTTCAAATCCTACTGTCTCCAAAAGACTAAGCCCTGGAGGACCTGATCCCAAACATCATTGAATATTTTTCCTTTTGGCTTAAGTATTATTCTTACCAAAAATCGTTTCTCTATGGTAGAATGAAATTGAGAGAGGAAAGTTTTAACGTGTAATTGTAGACGGATTTAAGAAATAAATTTCAAAATGATGATATTTCAACAAAATAAGGAAGATCTATATATAAAGACTCTAACGATCAAAGAAGAAGAAAGTGATGAATTTTTGCAAAATTAGTGATTTTGTTTTTGACGTTTGTAATCATTCATTTTATCAATCATAAAGCAAAATGTGCACAAAATAGTTTGTGTCTATGATTTTTGTGATAGGTGTTTATGTGTTCTAGCATGGTTTGGGTCGCGACGAATGGAATTGTGTTGTGTGTATGCAGTTACAAAATGTTAAAGTAAATTATATATATATATATATATATATATATATATATATATATATATATATGTAATGAAATAATATTATAAGTTACATAATCTTATTTTACTTTAAACATATGACAACTAATTAATATTCTATGCTTTTAAATTTTATTAAAAAAAATTCACATTTTATAATTTTGTATGACTTAAAGAATAATTTAATTATAAAAAATTACAATCACATACTAGCTTGCGAGAGTTCCTTTTTACATATAGTTTGTTATGCTTACATTTAAGATTTTTATTAAAAAACTTTAAGTTTATATAAGTCGACTAGTTAATTTAGTCTATGAAGGTTTTAATTTAATCTTAAAATTTAATAAATTAAACTAAATTCTTGAAAGTTATTTTAGTATTTCACAAACAATATTTTTTATGTTTAATTTTATCTTTGTTATTTTTTATTTTATTTTATCTTCATCTTTTACTCATTTATTTATTAATTTTGAAGAAAAATATATTTATATTTATACCCTAAAATTGATAAATAAGTATTCTAACTTAAGTATTGTTGTAGTCTATTGAGATATAATGAAGTTAAAAATTTATTTTATTATAAACATAAAATAGTTGTGAATTTAATAAAATTGTCAAAATTTTTAACATGCGTCTCCACACATATTAGTGTTAGACAAATGACATCTAGAGAGGGTGAATAGATGCACAAATTAAAATAGATGTCAAATTAAAAATTTATTTGTGAGTCAATAATTTGTTAAAGCGGAAACAATAATATAATCAGGGAAAGAGAAGAACACACATAGATTTATACTGGTTTGGGTATAGTCAACCCTACATCCAGTTCCCAGTCAACTCTTAACACAAGAGTGACTCCCCATTCACTATCTTTCAAATTCAGTTTACAAATTACAATCAACTCAGCAGAAGAACCAGTAAAAAGTAAACTAATTAAAAAGACAATCACCTCCCTAGAATCCCACTAGGGATGAACACCTCCTCTGAACAAATCAAAGGATGAAAAACACCTCCTTAGAATCCCACTAAAGATGAACCCCTCCCTAGAATCACACTAGGGATGAAAACCTCCTTTGAACAAATCAAATGATGAAAACACCTCCTTAGAATCTCACTAAGGATGAACACCTCCCTAGAATCACACTAGGGATGAAAACCTCCTTTGAACAAATCAAAGGATGAAGGTAATAAAAATAAGAACAGACACACCTGGGTAATGGAGACAACAAATTGTAGAAGCCTGTAGAATGTCAATCTCAAAGAACAAGTGTGATTAACAATGAAAGCACAGAAGACAGTAGAGAAGAGGGTTTTCTCAAAATGTGTAAAATATCTCTATTGCCTTGTTCAGAATTCTTTTCTCAAAACTAATTGAATGTAAATTGTATTTTCAAATTCTGTAATTGTGTGTATTTGATTTTTCATCAAAACTTAATTAAATAGAAAAATAACATCAGAAAATGGCCGTTGGACATTAATAATATCATAGAGAAAATCATGATGTATTCAAAAACATTTATTCTTTAAAACGGATATATTTTTCAAATTTGAATTGTCATAATTGATTATATTACCAGTATAATTAATTATGATAGAGAAAATCATTTTTCTATTTCTGGTGCATCATAATTAATTATGACAGTGAAAAATATCATGTTATGAATTTTATCACACTTGTGCTTTGGAGGCCTATGCATAATATTACTTCATCAACTTGTACCACCATATCCAGTATTCTAAGACTCTATCTAGTCTTCAGGAATCATCTTGGGCTTTCTTGAATCATCATCTTTATAAAAAACAACATATATTGGGCATGTAGGAAAATGTTTCACATTGTCACCTACGTCATAAATTAGCTTGTCCTTAAATTTATCTTGAATGGTGTTGACTTGAATGCAGTTGACTTGAATCATCATCAAAATCATCTCTTGGGAATGCAGGAACATTTCCATCAATCTCCCCCTCATTGCTTTCAATCTCCCCATTTTTTATGATGATCAAGGAAACACCTGAAATGAATTAAATGCTTGACTCTATATAGCCAGCTCAAGATTAACACATATTTGTATCAAGTGTCAGAGTCTCTTAATCTCCACTTGGATATATTAATAACAAGACTCCCCCTAACTCATATGAGCAAATACTTCTCTTAACTCCCCTTGTTTAATTTAGATAGGAAAGAATTTCACACAAATTTTAATTCATCAAAAAATCTCCCCCTATTTTATTGATAATCATAAAAAGATATTATAAGAAAAAATCTTCCCCTGTTTCACACAGATTAATATCATCAAAATATATCCCTGTTTCATTGATAATTAAAAAAAATATTATAAGAAAAAATCTCCCCCTATTTCATTGATAATATCATTGTTCCTTTAGACACCCATTCATATTTGTCATTAGATATGCCAAAATGTTTTATGTAACATCTATTTGATGTATGACCTAATTTCATGCAATAAAAACATGTTGGTTTTCTTTGAAAATGTCTAAATGCGTTTCTTAAAGTTTTGAAACTGGTTTCACATCTGTTTTCCTTGACTCTTTCACAAAAATAGTTTTATGAGGTTCTAGATTTTTTTTGGGTTTGTAACCAAGTCCAGCTTTGCTAGAATTTCCTCTTTGATAACCTAATATCGAATCAAGATTTTAAGAAGATTTTGAAAAATTGCTTATTATTTTCTTTAACTTGAAAATCTCATTTTCTAAAATATTACAATTTTCACAAGGTTTAACAACTTCTTTATTTTTAGACAAAGTTTTAGATTTATCAACATCTTTCTTTAAGCACTCATTTTCTTTTTCAAGAATACCAACAATATTTTCTAATGCATTAAACTTTTACCTAAGTGCATTGTATTTCTTAGATAACTTGGTAAAACCTTCGTACATATTTTGATATTCTTTAAATAACTCATCATATTCATTTAAGGAATTTGTACTACTTACTTGTGATGAGGCTTCATCATCACTTTTTGTCATCAAGCAAAGATTTGCTTCTTCTTCTCCATCACTGCTTTCGGAAGAACTCTCTTGTGTTGTTGAAGAATCATTATCCTCCCAAGCAATATAAGTTTTGTGTTTGCTCTTATAGGTATTGTTCTTCTCTTTCTTCTTCTCTTTCACATCTTTCTTAAGCTCCGGACAGTCTGATTTGATATGACCAGGTTTTCCACATTCATAGCAATGAAATTTATTTGTTTTCTCCTTCTTTTGCTGTCTCTTTTTCCTATTCTTCATAAAGCGAGAAAATTGTTTAATAAAAAGAGACATATCGGAATCCGAAAACTTACCTTCATTTTCGCTTTCATCTTGTGAAGATTTTTCTACTTTTAGAGCTATCGTCTTGGTTTGATTCTGTTCACCGTTCTTCAACCTTTGTAGCTCCATCTCATGTTCTTGCAGCTTTCCAAATAAAGTAGCAATATTCATTTTTGTGAGATCCTTTGATTCTATAATAGCAGTGACCTTTGGTTGCCAATTCCTGTCTAAGGATTTCAAGATCTTTGTGTTCAACTCCTCATTGTCAAAACTCTTTCCTAATGCTTTCAAGTGATTTACTATATGTGTGAAACGTGTTTGGAAATTCGTTATGCTTTTATTTTGCTGCATTTGAAATAATTCATACTCCTAGATGAGTGTGTTTTTACGTGCTCGTTTTACTTCATTTGTTCCTTTATGTGTTACTTCAAGAGTGTCCCATATTTCTTTTGACATCTTGCATTGTGAGACCCTGAAAAATTCATTACGAATTTAAGGCAGAAACAATAGTGTTTCGGACTCTTACATCATATTGGGCACGCTTGTTTTCATCCGGCGTCCATTGATCAAAAGTCTTTGGAACAGCTCCAGACTCCATTGTTCTCATCGGAATGTAAGGACCATTGAGTACAGCATCCCAAACACCGTAATCTAGTGTTTGTAAAAATATTTCCATTCTCACCTTCCAAAACTGATAGCCTTCTCCTTCAAATAATGGTGGTCTGTTTATTGAGGCTCCTTCCCTGTAAACCTGATTCTGCATAGACATCTTGACAGATCGTTTAAAAATATCTTATCTAACCAAACTCTGATACCACTTGTTAGACAAATGGCATCTAGAGGGGGTGAATAGATGCACAAATTAAAATAGATGTCAAATTAAAAATTTATTTGTGAGTCAATAATTTGTTAAAGCGGAAGCAATAATATAATCAGGAAAAGAGAAAAAGATAAGGGAAAGAGAAGAGCACACATAGATTTATACTGGTTCGGGTATAGCCAACCCTACATCCAGTTCCCAGTTAACTCTTAACACAAGAGTGACTCCCCATTCACTATCTTTCAAATTCAGTTTACAAATTACAATCAACTTAGCAGAAGAACTAGTAAAAAGTAAACTAATTAAAAAGACAACCACCTCCCTAGAATCTCACTAGGGATCAACACCTCCTCTGAACAAATCAAAGGATGAAAAACACCTCCTTAGAATCCCACTAAGGATGAACCCCTCCCTAGAATCACACTAGGGATGAAAACCTCCTTTGAACAAATCAAAGGATGAAAACACCTCCTTAGAATCTCACTAAGGACGAACACCTCCCTAAAATCACACTAGGGATGAAAACCT